CGCTATATTGTTATACAGGGTGTTCATTTGAAAACTTCCCACCACGGATTTATCGAAAACCACTGATTAAAAAAAAAATGCCCAAACACGTCAAAAGATTAGTCAAGGGTGACAACTTTTTAACCAAAAACTACTTCACCCCCCTTTCACCCACTGCCCCCTAGGGTCATTCCCTTAAAAATTTTAAATGACAAGTGGTATCGAGTAATAGCTTATTTGAAAGGTCTTTCGAAGTCCTTTATTTTGACGTTTAAATCGGTCGAATCGTTTTCGAGAAAATTAGAAAAATCTTAATTTGTTCAGATAGAAAACAAAAACAAACGATGGCAATGGGTGTATCACTAGGATTCTCTATAACGGGAGTCCGTTGAGGCAGTCACGGGAAAGAATATCCCTGTCACAGAGGGCACTGCGTGTCATAGCCCAACTAACAATAAAGAACCCCCAAGAGAACGGAATTATTTCATAACTATCGTCTAGCGCTACTTAGAGAATCGTTTATTGTTTTAAGGCATGATGATACGATAGTTTTGTCATAAAAAAGACGAATTTCTTTAAAGCTGTTGTGTAGATATTCTTACAACTCATGTTACAGAACAAATAATAATTGCAAATGCACACATTCTGTAACAGTTGTTTAACGTTTTATACAATCCGTTATAACTACATTTTAAAAGAATTGTATAAACATTATAATGCAGTTGTATAGCTATTCTAATACTTTTCATTTCTGCGTTATAATATAGTTGTAATAGAAGTTGTATAAGAAGTTATATTGAAGGTCTTTATGCTAAATAATACAACTGTAGACTGAAAAACATTATACAATATACACAAAACTATTTCATAGTTAGCATATAACTACAACAGTTTACTCCCTTATGCAGAACTTATACAATGAAAATGTAGTTATCGAAAACTCTGCCATATAACACAACATTTTTATGGAACTATTATCTTGGTAACTTTTAGAAAATGGAATCGGCTGTGTCTAAGTGGAAAAAAATCCAATTGGGTTCAGGCGACGAATCACTTTCCCTTTGCAGTTTGGAGGCAAATCTTTTGGGAAAGAATAACGTGCCCCGATCATTTTCCCAATTTTCTGGAACAATCGTCAACTCCTGTCTGCCCTTTTCAACAGTTTCCACTATCTTGAACATCTTTGAACTACTACTTCTTGCGGCATACACAAGTGAACAACTTTTACAGGTTAACAATCACATGGATGGAATTTTATACTGCAGATAATTGAAACACATAATATAACTGAATAGTTGTTTAGTGCAGCACAACACATACGCTAAGCGATACATCTGTTCTATTAAAGAGTTTTCCAACGCGCTTTAATGTAATATGGCCATTGAATACACATAGTTGCCATCATACAAAAAATTAATACAAAGCAATTTATTATGTATTGTGAACAATTCTCTTTAGAAGCTTTAACCACAGTCTTGTATCTAGACTGTGCTTTAACTCTGATATATTTCAATATTTTTGCTTAATTAGCGGTTTCAGATACATCTCAACTGGTTTATGCATGTAAAATTAAAATGATATCGGAACATAGTATGAATCTGGCAACTTCCAAAATTTATCAACAATCAGCTTCTTGTCCGATTTTAAAAACCATTCTATGGCGTCGTTGTAACTCAACATTATAGGACTTGAATATTGTATACTGCTCGGAACAAAGCAGAATCATTGTATAACGTTTCTAATTAGACAAAGTCATTGTATTACAATCGCGCCATATTTATTAAGCAAATCACCGTTTATATATCGCCGCCATTATGCAAAATTCGCATGAAAACGTAAAAATAGCAATAAAGAATGCATTTAATAGAAATATAGACGTAGAATTTCGCAAATGAAACGAACACATTTTTTGTTTAAATTGAAAATACATTTAAAAGGGAAAAATTTTTTTTTCGTGTATTCATGATTCACATAATAGTCTACTAAACTGAGGCGCATTAATTTTTCATCAATAATATATACGTATATTGTCAGAAAAATTTGCTGCGCTAGAATATTTTGTCTTAATTGACGTATATCAGAAATGAATATTTTCAATGATGCTGCACTTAATCACTCTAACGCATGGCGGAACTCGAAAATAATGGAGTCACTTATATTTTGTTTGTACCGTTAACTAACACGAACATAAGAAATTTCCATTATTATTTATTTATACCTATTTCAAATTTCAACAGTACAATACTAATTGATTGCATAAGCGATGCCGTCTGCGTTATAACAAACTTATAAAATCCTTTTTTTAAAGTTCTATAGATGTTCGTAAAATACACTTAAACCGCAGTATAGAAACACTACTTATACAATGCCTTTTTATAGCAGTCCCATAGTACTCATGTAATATGTTGTATAAGTATTCTTGAAGATATACTTATACGACAATTTTATAAACATTACATAAGGCTATTGTGTAAGAGTTTTGTAGTTTACTAGAAGAGGTCCCTAAATTACTAAACTGTTTTATAAACTAGGGCCTTTTTTGGTTGTGTAACCGTTGTATAGTATTATTTACCCGCCGTATACAATTTTCGGCTTTCTATAAGATATGCTGTATAGCATTTCTCATAACCTTTATAAAATAAATTTTGCTAGTTGGGTAGAAAGCGACTAAACAACAGGGTACAAGATTTCGACTTCAATTTTTCCAATTAGGACTTGTTTTTCGATTGTGACGATTTTAGATATAAAGAGGAGTCTTATTGGATGGTGTTTCTTAATTTTTTTTTAATTGGTTTTTAAGTATGGACCTGCGTGGGAAAGCTTCAAGCGCCAGTAAGTCGTGGGGCATGGCGTGGTTAACTTAAATTATATGGACATTTTGTTTATGACTAGTAAAGTCATCGTTTTCAGCCTGTTAGGGAATGAGATTTGCTTATGCTGCGTGATGTCACTGCCCGTGGAGTAGATTTATAGACATCAAGCGTCTTGATTAGGCGGGAAAATTTGTTTTTAAAAGGTTGAGTTCCGGAATGGGCTTTACTAGAAAGAAGTAGGTAGTGGGAAATCTTTTTTTGGGAGAGAACCGGCGCAAAATTGGTATTGAGTCGCGAGGTAATTAGCGTCGAACAACGAGAGACGCTTGATGCAGTCGGCAAAGTTAAGCCCGTAGCTTTTAAATCATAGTGGGGGGGGGTATTTATTTTGTGCGAATCTTCGTGTGGACCCGAAACGAAGTTAAGTCAGCCACCACGAATTTATCGGAGGGTGGATTTAATTGTGTGTTATTTTGAATTCTTGCCGAACCAGTACAGTTAAGTGGCCCATGTGTAATTTATCGGAAGTAATTTTTACCTGTTGGTATGATTGAAGAGCAGTAGGTCTGATAAGGAGAGGGTACAACACCGATATTACCGTACAGCCCTTCTGGGCAATATCTGATGTGGTACTCCACGTGTGATCTCGGTCCGGCACGACGCCAAGGTACTTCGCTTTGGTTCTCAAGAAAATTGCATTGGTGAGGTTACTCGGGGATTCGTATCTTCTCTTCGTGAACAGGGCGGCTAAGCTCTTCTTGCAACGATCGTTGATTTAGTGTACCATCGGTTTAGATAACCAGGGTTGCGTCCTGTGTTTTACGTACAGAGAGAACAGCAGTGCGGCGAAAGCAGGGATGCTTATGGTACTCCGACAGTCGCTCTTTGGTTCCTCGAAGACCACGCGAAAACGTCTATCTTTGAGGTATAATGCAACGATCTGGACCATGCCTACTCTCCCCCTAGACCATACTCGAGCATCTTTCACAGCAGTTCGTTGTGCCAGACATTGTGGGCTCCAAAAAGACGTGGACTGGTGCAATGGTTGCGGTTGAAGCCTTCTGTCACGTATCCTTGCGCTTTCAGTAGATAATGAACCGTAGAGTGTCCCTTCCGGGATCCGAATTACTCTTCTTCAATAAACCGTCTCTCTTTCGATTGGTCCTGTAGTCGCCTCAGCATCACCGCTTCAGCTACTTTGAGGTGATGCCCCACTTGAAGAGGTAGCGACACCATACCCTTTGAAGTTTACCTTTGGATTCTTTGTACTTAGCAATTTAATATCTGCGTTACGAATGTATTGATATGGTGATAGTAACTGGGATTAGATAAGTGAAAATAGCTTTGAAGTTTATTTACAATTCAGATTCAGGTAGTTATCTCTTCACAGTCTAATTACACTCCATATACTACCGTAATTTCAGGAAGACTGAATGGAAATAATTCAAGGGTGAACAGTTAGAAAAGCGGACACTATGCGAATTTTTAATATTCAGTAAATTTTTCAGGGTTGGAAGTATATTTTTTATTAAGGTCAGGAAGTACTAGAATTCATCATTGACAGTCCGCATACCTGAACTGAATTATGTACCTTTACAGTCAGCTATTTCAACTGAAATGAGAACTTACATCTTTACAAAAAAAGAGCTTGATCATGTTCGTGTTATTTACATAGGAATAATTAAAAAAGGATCCTTTCGCTCAGTTTGTGTCTATACAGAGACGAGGTTCATCATTTACAAAAAGCGCAATTACCTTAAAAATATTACGCAAACCCGCATATGTCCAAAGGGAAGGCAAATAAAATGTAAAACTAAAAATATTTGTAGTGTATATCACAAGAATTGACAGAGTATCATGCATAGAGACGTGCATGCATATACTACATCACATTCCCATTACTTGCTTATGGATTTCACTCATTTATATGCATAGGACATTTTCTGTGACTGGATTCTATTCTGCTTTAGCGATAAAACCTTTAAATATTAATATTCTATTGATGCTTCCAATTTCTGTTGCGGATTTTCCTGATTAATATTCCACCTCAATGCACCTGTGCACTTGATTTAAGCGCACATTAGAATAATGCGGCGGTGGCAGAAAATTACCAGAGTGGTTCATAATTGCAATGCGCGTTATTAACCTGAAATTTTATTAATAGATAACCCGACGGCTAATTATGATTTTCTGGTTTTTACATTACAGACTTCGAACGATGGCAACACGACGACGAGCACATTATCATTCATCGCACGAAAGGAGGATGATGGAAAATATTTATCGTGCAGGGCCGAGAACAAAATGCTTTCAGCTGATGGCCTGGAAGATGGGTGGAAATTAGAAATTCAGTGTAAGTTTATTATAAACCGCACAAAATATATGACCAAACGCAGAAAAATAATAATTACCATAAAGAGAGCGTTCATGTCTGCCTTAATTAAACTACACTTCCCCTGGAAGACTGCTGAAACGCTTCAGTATCCATTACATCTCAAGTTCTTATTAAATTACAGCTCTATCTTTGAAAAATGAAAAGACATCCTTTCGCTTGCAATTATACTTTAAGTATATTTCACACTTTGTAGAATGTAAACGACTACACTTTAACTACTCTCCCCCATTCTTTACGTGAACAAAAGTCTTAAAAGTTAAAACGTCCTTTTGAAGGGAACCATTTTTTCCTCCTCCTAATTGAGATATAAGCATTAGCAGAATTGAAATTTGGGAATGTGTAATTTACATATTTGCAAATTCTAGAAATTTATAAGCTAATGTAAGACATTTTACAACGCGTACAGGGGTAGCATTAACTTACTAAACGACAATTTCCTGGCATTATCCGACGGTAATTAGAACTGGCGTTACAGATACTCCCGAGGCGAAGATAATCTTGGGCACTTCCCTCAATCCTGACACTATTCGAGAAGGCACGGACGTTTATTTCGACTGCATCGTTAATGCACATCCACACGTTTATAAAGTCGAATGGAGACATAACGTAAGTAAAATTAGTGTTATACAGCTACCGCCATTTTATTATTCCATAAACGTAATTCAAATCGTTTGCATATCATCATTAATCATTAGTGTTTTGCGCTTTGAAGTTGGTATACAATTAAACGTCTGATATTTTTAGAGCGGTATTCGAAACTTTGTTTTTTATACAGGGTGAGTTATTTCTCATTTTCACTATGGACATCTCGTAAACCGTAAGACATGGAGAAAACAGATAAAAAATCACTAAGGGTTTGCTAAAGTTATTTTTTGATATCTTTGAAAATAAACGAACGCTAGTGCATTTTGAAAATTACATTTGTCGGTGTTTTGTCCATAACTTAAATTAAATTGGAAAATGAAACTGTCCGTTTAAGCGACTTTGTATCCCTAATAGTGAAAATTTAAAAAAAACTCATCCTGTATGTCTTTCTTTTATTGTTGTATTACTACGTTTGGTAGAAATCGTTACCGAGTCCAATTGTACTACAAAGATAAATACCCAGCGACGTAGGACTCGTACCTACCAGAGGGCCAAATAAGAATGGCACGCGGCTGCATCTCATAAAGTAATATAACATTTTTTAGTAAGAAAAAATGGTTTCTACGATCATGGCTTGGGGATGAACCATGTACTGTAAAATACAGTGACTATATAAAGACATGGTGGCCATAAGCTGCACCGTACAGTATTATTGGCCTGATCACTACAGTGTAAAGCCAATATACCACTCGAAGGTCGAGCCCCATGGCACAGCTCAAAGCATTTCCACATGCCTATAGACATGTACCTAGTAGCCTTTTTGCCAATTCCCTCAATGTGCCCTCTGAGTTCCACCAAGGTGTTCTCTATCGTTCCTCGAAAAGTCCGCAGTTTACAGCTGCCCTCATATGACGTTATGGTGTCGCTTACCAATGCGGCCGCCTCTTCCACCTGCCCTGCCCTCCGACAGGACCGAGGTGGCCAATCCAACCGCTCTGACAGTATCGCCACATAGTAGACCCAGTCAGTGGATCGGGAATTCCGAAACCTGCAGGGCCCGCAGAGGGATCCCAGCTTTAGTTGGGAAAGAATGAGCATGTGGTCTGAAAGGGACGATAACTCTTCAACTTGTGATCGTGTAAGATATTGAAAGGGAGCCCAACGTCACATCAATAATCTCCTGCCTCCGCGTTGTGACGAAGGTAGTGGCTGCTCCCCGATTTAAAACATTCAAGTCAGTTGTTTACGAGTACTCCTAGCAGGACTCCCTGAGGATGAACCTGCTCCATAGACTCGGGCTAAAATGAGGATTTTGCTTTTGGAGGAGCTTCAAGATGGTGACCGTGTCATCCGGGAGTCCGTATAACACAATCCTCTGAACCTTCAGAGACGCGCCATCCCAAGGCGTAATAAGAGGGACCCCTCTCCAACTAGTCCAAGGCCACTTGTGGTCACAATGGAACCCTTTGCATTCCATCAGAACCCTGCCAGCCGAGGAAAGGGCTCCCCTCCATGTCGTCAACAACTGCATTTAATGCAGTCATAATGCACCTCGGCTCAGGCTCAGTGATGTCCATTTCCGGGTGCGATGGCCACTCTGGGCCCCTCCGCACCCTAACTTTAGTCGATTGGTCCCTGGCGTCGGATTGCCCCCCTGAGCCAACGACTCAGGCACAACCTTAGGCTTTGGCGCAGGACCCGAAGTTTTACCCTCCAGTCGGCAATTTTATCAATTCGGTATCATCAAATCAGTAAACAACAACGGAATGGAAGATATTCGGTGACTATTCTGCATAAAGTTTTACTAAATGTCAATACAATTTGCCGCAAGATTTAATTCGAAAAAGAGAAAATTATTCATTTCCTATGCTGTCAACAAAATTAAACCATTCTCTATACATCTCTGTAGAACAAAGCTATCTATAATTGAAGGATAAAGTTTTATAAATAGACTCTCTACTTATTATGTACTCAAAATGTATTTGTATTCAATGTTGTACATGCATTTTGATTTTACTTTGAGGGTATGCATAGTAAAGTGATTTTAATCGCCCCACAGTTATACAGTGGAAGATCGATATTTTGTATCTTTTGCTCACTAGTAAATAAAATACTGGGTTTGTGCCGATTAGGGGCAAGATTTTAAAATTACAACTTAAGATGACACACAAGACATCAGACAACGAATATAACACCGTTAAATTAGAAAAGAAGAAATTAGGTTAAATTGGGCAAATATCCTTTATACACTAGATGTCCATCTAAAATCTTTCAGATTAAATTTACAAAATGTTACAACTTCAGACGGTAGTATACACAAACCTTCGAATAGTATTTGAATACTTAACCTTCCCTTTTTACCCTGCTTTTTACCAAAAATCGACTGCACCAAAATTTCTCGGGAAAACACTTTTTCTTATTAATTTTGGTGCGTAGAATCCAAAACAATTCGCACTTTTTCGACTTCTCAATCAAAAGTTATAGACTAGAAACCAATTTCGAAAGAAAACTCAAAGGGCTGTAACTTTTGAACTAGTAGCCCAATCTTGGAACTGTTTGAAATTATGGATTCTACAGGTCACATTCTATAAGAAAATTTTTTTTCCGGGTCGATCTGAGACAATTTTTTTGCGGGCCTCAAAAAAAGGCAGTGTATAACCTTCCTATTTTACCAAAAATCGACTACACCAAAATTTCTCGGGAAAACACTTTTTCTTATTAATTTTGGTGCGTAGAATCCAAAACAATTCGTACTTTTTCGATCAGACTTCTCAATAAAAGTTATAAACTAGAAACCAATTTCGAAAAAAAATTCAAAAGGCTGTAACTTTTGAACTAGTAGTCCAATCTTGGAACTGTTTGAAATTATGGGTTCTACAGGCCACATTCTATAGAAAATTTTTTTTTCGGGGTCGATTTGAGACAATTTTATTTTCGGGCCTCAAAAAAAGGCAGTATACTTATAACCTTCCTTTTTTACCATAAATCGACTACACCAAAATTTCTCGGGAAAACACTTTTCCTAATTAATTTTGGTGCGTAGAATCCAAAACAATTCGTACTTTTTCGATCAGATTTCTCAATCAAAGTTATAGACTAGAAACCAATTTCGAAAGAAAATTCAAAGGGCTGTAACTTTTGAACTAGTAGCCCAATCTTCAAACTGTTTGAAATTATGGATTCTACGGGCCAAATTCTATAAAAACATGTTTTTTCTGGGTCGATCTCAGATAATTTTTTTCCGGCCTCAAAAAAAGGCAGTACTTTTAAGTTATTCAAATATTTGAGAACAATTTAGAAATGTTTAGGGAAAGTTTCCATTGTCACAAAATCAAATATAAAAATCCGACACAACTGAATACCGAACGATCCTGGAGTGAAACTTTATGCCACGATAGTCTTAAAAACAATAGGGACCTTTCTTATATCCTTAAGACCATGTGTACCAATTTTCAAAGCTATCGCAGGTTTCCAAACAAACTATCATGCACACGGACAAACGGATGGTCACAAATGAATCTGTTCCAAAAGCGCTAGGATTCATTTATTTAAGAAAGGCGTACGTATCATGTGCACGACGCTTTGAAAACTGGTACACGTATTCTTAAGGGTATAACTGGTATAAGAAAGGTCCTGGTAGGTACCTCCTATATAATAATATAATAATAATATTACGCTTTTACTCCCCTTAAATTTGTATATAACAATAGAAATATAAAAGCTAACCCCATACAAAGTATAACTTGATTTTTTAAGTATAGTATTAAGACTTATCTAGTATATTATTTTAAATTTTTAATGTATTTGAGTGACAAGTATTTGAATACTTTTTACCGTATTCGAATACTTTTGAAAGTATTCGAATACATTCTAAAGTATTTGAATACTCTTCAATGTATCTGTATCTAGTATTCGCTTGTGCTGGACGTAAAAGTATTTAGTATTCAAATACCTTTGATTTATGTAAAGTATTTACTATTTAGTATTCAAATACTTTTTGAAAGTATTCTGCCCAGCTCTGAAAGAGACCATTCAAAATTTGTTTTAAAGAACACATGACTCACTTCAAAAATAGCCGTTGGGATAGATCTAGCGTTGTCGCACATTCAGGGTGTTAATACTAGTCGTTACTCTCGAAAACCGCAGTTAGAACTGATTAAAACAAGCAAGTTTTCTCAGTTCCGATTTTTGATTTCGTGTGGCACCGAAGTGCTTGGCTTTTTTTTGTTTTTGGCGTCATAACTTGCTTGTTTTAAGGACTATGGAAAAAAAAACAAAAATTTTCAAAACTATGTTTCAACTGTCTAAAACATTTGCATAGCTACCGTTCAAAAATATTTAAAAAACATTTTTTGGTAACCACCCCACGATTTTTTAAAATAAAACATTTATAAAATCCCTACACTATCTACTACACCATTTGTCCTAAACATTTTTTTCAATCTATCCTGCGGGGGGGGGGGGCATTTTGGAAATCGAAAGTTAAGGACAAGAACTGCAGTAGACGTTGTAGGTATTTTATAAATGTTTGTGCTTTCAACAATCGCTGGGGTGGTTATCAAATAGTTATTTATATAACAAGAGCGCGAAGGTCAATTTCGCGCATGAAAATATCAGTCAAATACGCGAAATAACTTCGCGCTAGCGTTATGTACAATATTTTTTCTACAACTGAACCGATTGTGAATTTTTGCTGTTTAAGTTCAATTTTGTCATGTGTGCGAAATACTTTTTTTCATTGTTGACGGTTTCGCGGACGTTGTCAAGAACAACCTTACTTATTAATTAACCGTTTAAAAATCTAGTACTTCGCGTTTCGAAATCCGTCAGAAAATGACAGGTTTTTTTGACAGTTGTAGAAAAATATGTTTTTTTGAAATTTTTGATCAATTTTGCTCGCACAAACCATAGTGGCAAATGGCAAGCTGTCTTTTCTTTGTAGATTCTCGTATATGGTATAGTTTCGCAAGTAGAAAACTTTGAGGCTGTACTTTTGGATTCAAGAATAAAAAGTCGTAACGCTCGTATGCCAACTTTTCGACTGTAGCACATTTATCGTCATTTGGTACTTTATTTGGTCTTATTCTGGTTATGCAAGGTAACATTCGCCATCTTTGATTGACTGCCATTTCTATTAGCTATACCGCTTTGAGATGGCAATTATGGTGTTTTGGCATCCTAATAAACCCTGTATACCCATTGTAAAAAGGAAAATTATAGCGACATGTTGACTGGCCCATGAACTATTACCCCTGTTAGGCAATCTCGGCTATGTCTCAACAACCGTGATATAGAATGGACTTCTTAATTATAACAAAAAACAACATACCTATTTCAGTAGGTAGTATATTTTTTCCGAAATCGCCATACCTACTTTATAAGAGAAAATTTTAATTTCCATGATAGTGGCAGTAACACTTTTCCTGACTGCTTTTCCTGCCACCTGTCACATTGGTAATGTCTAATGACTTAACTGCCATCACTGACACGACTAATCAAAAGATCTAGATAAAATTGAAAATTTATATTAAAAAAAACATTTCGGGAAAACTGTAATACAAAACTATGTAAATAACTATTTCTATATGAAATATGAGAGTATCTAACGTAGGTACTCATTTCAAATTCCTTCTAGTAGAAGAGCTATGGCAAATTTTTTTAAACAGTTTGATTATTGTTGATATTTGGATATAAGATAGTTATGTATATGCTAATAACATATTCGAGCGTCTGGCAGAAATTTCGTGGATGGCGTGGCGGTGGTATATCAACAAATAATAAAAGTCACTAGCTCTTAGACTATTACCCTTGCACCGAGTTCGTATATTGCTTATATTGGGACTACTGCAGGAAAATCGTTGAGTCATTAAATACAATTTCCATTGATTTCCGTATTACCACACCCAAAATGCACCCCTTATTTACTTATTTCATTAGACACTTGATCCTAATTTCATGAAACATGCCGCATTTTCCTTAGTGATTATTACTGATTATACTTTATCTACATCCCCCAAGTAAAGCTAATAAAGCATCGCATCAAATTCTTCCTGCATTACACAACTCATTATAGTGCTCCGTTTTGTTTCAGAGCAAGGCGTTACAACACAACGTGGGATCGGGTACAATAATTAGCAATCAAAGCCTCGTGCTTCAAGGAGTTTCCAGATCGACTGCTGGGAATTACACGTGCGTTGGATATAACACCGAGGGCGATGGTGAAAGCAAACCCTTCTATTTAAACGTCATGTGTAAGTATAACTGCGTCTGTAACATTGGAAAATCAAACAAAATGAAAATGTGTAACTGCGTTGATCACGAAGTGTGAAATGGAACTCATAAATTTTACGAATATTGCAGTAAAAAGAATACGTATTTTGAATTTATCAACACATGGATGTGCGAAATTAACGTCGGTGAGATTTTTAGGTGAGATTTAGATGGTTTTCGCCGTTCCCATTTCACATACGTACCTTTTGTTATTGCATGAAAAGAGAGATGGGAAAACGTTTATAAGTTTTCAAAATCGGAAAACCGAAGGAAAAGTTGTTGGTATTATAAATTATGGGCTTAAGTGCAAACTAATGAGTGTTGAAGCTCTCCTTTCATCCATAAACCACAAACTTTGTAGCTTAGTTACGCAAGTAAGGGATGAAAGTTACAAGCTTGAAAATTTTAAATATAAAAAGTTTTATTTACAAATCAGCACAATTTTAATGAGAGCTTTATAAAAAAAATAATTACTGTATCCCAGTCATAATCAAAAAACATTCAATTTTATCTCTGCTATAAAATTTCGTTGCTACTTTGAATTAATTGCTTGCGTTTTTATTGAGATTGTTCAAAATGTGGAGGTTTATAGCTTATGCTGGCGTATGATTTCGTTTGTTTGTTTTTACATTAAATTAGATAAAAGTCATAGACTTATCGGAGAAGTTACTACAAAATTAAGCTGGCTAGACTAACTTCACGGAGAGGTAGAATAAAGCCATTTTTCCTTGTGCACTGGGTCGTGCCGTTAAAAAAATTCAACCAAGAGCAAAAAAATATATCAAAACTTCTTGTTCACACCTGGATTCATAGATCGAACGGATTCTACTCTTATTAGTCTCATGAATTTTTTCTCTCTCCGTTTAAACGCTGATGGTGATGACTTGAAGTCTCTTTGATCCTAGTGAACTCATGAAAATAGAGGGAGAGAGAGATCTTCATAAGTAAATCAGGTGGCATTTTGCAGTCTGCAAACTATGTGCGATGTGTTTGCCTTTGCTAATAACATTTGTGGTTTTCGATTTTTACTAAATGTGGTATGTTTTTCTTTACTAGGGGCATCTATGGTTAAAATTGACTGCGCATGCGCACATCTAATGTTTGCAATTTCAGACATTTGCCTTTAACAGAATCGTCTGTGATTAAAATTTCAAAAAGATATCTTGATAAATAAGACAGTTGATATTGTGCATCCTGCGCATGCGCACATTAATCTGAAGTTTACAATATGCGATACGTTTGCTTTTACTAAAAGTATCCTTGGTTAAAATTTGAAATAAATATCTTCATAAAAAAGAAAGTTGGCATTGCGCAGTGTGCGCATGCGCACATCTGATTTTTACTATATACGATCTGTTTGCCACCACTAGAACTGTCTGTGGTTAAAATTTCAACAAAATATATTAATAAATAAGAAAGTTGATGTTGCGCAGTTTAACCGTCAAGATTTTCCTTGTCTCAGGTGCCAGGGCTATACGCTACCGACCGAATGCAAAAAGAACGAACTAAATAATTTAAAAACTGTAGGAGTAGTTACGTCCTCAGACAGACGGACGGAGAGAGAAAGTAGCTGCAATAGCGCATCCAACTTCGTTGGAAAATGCGCTAACAATACTAAAACGAACAGATGAATTTAGGATAGGAACAAGGAGAGAATCGGATCACCAATGTTGGAATTGAGCCTAAAATTGAATACAGAGGAGTGGAATACTATAAAGGAGAAAAGCAATTACGTGGAAATAACTGAAAGGAAGGGGAGAGCAAAAAGAAAGGAGTGGTGATACAAAGAGTATACAGAACAGAGAAATAGATACAGAGAAATGATGGAGAAAGAAAGAAAAGTTGTCATAGAGGAAAAAAGGCCTGGTAGAACAGAAAGAAGTACAAAAAATGTAAGGAAAAGAAGATGGAGAAACAGAAAGAATACGAAGAGCAGATCAAGGAAATAAAAATAGAGAGGATTTTTTATAAACAGATGAACACGTTGGGGGAGGGAATTTAATTAGAGGGATGGAAATAACAAGTTACTACAAGGAAAGCAGGAGAAAGAGAAGGATATGGATGAGGAGATCGAGCAGCAATTAAAAAGACCGAAGAAAGGGAAAACCAGATAGGTAATGCGGTTTCACCGCTGATTTGGTCAAAGAACGAATGAGAAATCTTGTAAACAAGGTATGGAAAGGATGTCGTTTACCCGAAGAGGGAGGGAAGGGTAATGGGGTCATCCCGCCTTCATTTTTATTTCTGATCCACAAAGTACATTAAAAATAAAAAGACCCGTGTGTCCTCAATTTTTATTTGCGAGTAAAATAAACCCAAAATAAATTATTGAAAAGCTGTGTTTTTAGTCCGAATTTGAAACGCTTCAGACTAAATACGTCACAAACCTACAACCAATCACGTAGAAGTGAGCTGGCAACCTTACGCGAGGGTCTGACGTTTGTCACATTTGACGTTTTGAGAGGGATGTTTAACTGCATCTAGCACGAAAGTGACAAGTGCCTGTGACAGATGACGCAAGTTATAAATGCCATTCTCCTGCAATATTGCCAAGTCGTTATGTCATCTGAATGGTTCTAGGAGCTGATTGGTCGGGCTTATTACGTCACAGAGCCCGCCACAATCATATCGTTTTGAATAAACCTTTAAAACCGCACATGTTCATTATTTTTTGCTAATCAGCCTCTATTTTTAAATAAACTTTTACTGTCCAAAAAAATGTTTTATGGTTTCAGGTACACGCTTATTAAATTAGAACTGCGGAATTCAACTATACTGTAAACCCCCATTGTGCCAATCTTCATATAAGGAACAAGGATTGCGTGGGAAATTATAGGGAAATTACTATAATGACTACGGCATGTAGAATCTATGCAATGATACTGAACAAAAGACTAGGAAAAGAAGTGTGAAAGAAGTAGTGAAATAAACACAGATGGGCTTCAGAAACGGGAGGGGAAATATCGTCTGCATATATGTATTACACAGATTGGTGGAAAAGGCATTGGGAAAAAGGGTGGAAATGTGTTCGTGTTTTTCATCGACTTAAATGCAGCGGTTGACAGAGTGGAAAGGGAAAAAGGATGGAAAAAAATTAACAAGTTAACGATAGAATCGAGGAACTATATGTATAGACAAAGTTGAAGTTGGGAATAGAAGGGCAGGAGTCTGAAGTGATTTGGACTAAGACAGGGCGTCATTTAATCCCTACATTAAATATTTAGGGTACCAAATGCAAGGAAACAATAGGTCAAATACGCAGATAAGAAGATTAATGAAAAAGGGAGTAGTGGCGATGAAACAGGGAAATTGTAGAGAGGGAGTTCAAGAATTACTTGGATGAGGGGGGGGGGGGGGAGAAGGGGGAAAAAAATGCATTTTGGTTTTGTTTTATTGTAAAAAGCTTGCGATTGATTGATTGAATAAAAAAAAAGTCTTAGTTAATTATACATTTGTTATGTAGCGTTTTGTTCTGCGTCCTATAATAATAAAATATACAGGGTTTGGCACTTAAAATTAAAAACATTAATATAACCGATTTTCAGGGTATATTTTAGTTTTTTAGCGCATTTTTGAAAAAAATACGCTATTATATTCGTTATTGCTGGCAGGCCGGCTGTCCGCGTTAGATCTCCACAACTACAATAGCTAGAGAATTCAAATTTTCACTAAAAGCTTTCTGTTATAGTGTAGATGTGCAGGCACTAGTCTATTTTGAGTTAGATTACTTGTGAGATCGATAATTGATGAAAATAAATTCGATATGGGTTTCGGAGGTGCTATAATTTTACCGTTAGATAGCGCTACCAGTATAAAAACTTATTATTTACTTTGTGATTTGTTTTACAAAATGAAGACGTACCGTCAATTGAAATTAAATAAAATTAATTATTTAACGCAGCCAAAATTACTCGTGAGATCGATAATTTTAAACTTCGCTAATAAAATACTGACCTGCATTACCAAAAATGCGCTTTAATCATGCATATGCTGATTTACAACTTGTTTTATTACGTCGTTCCACCAGCAGCGTTAAAATAGCGTAAGAGCTTTAGATAATTTCATAGTTTCGCACTTTTAAATGTTGAAGTAAACTTACAAAGGTAACTTTCAGATATAATACTAAATAAAGAATAGATAGACTTTGGGGTGGTTATTTGCCAGATGATTTTTTAATTTCTAAATGTGTGCGTACGAACAGTACTACATAAAGCTTATAAGTGATCAATTCAGCAGGTATTGAAGTATTTATGGTTAAATTAACTGACAATGTTCATGCCGAAATTTGTTTACAGTTACCCCAACGTGCAAGCCTAATCAAACAAGAGTATATGGAGTGGCCAAACAGGAAGAGGCAAGAATAACATGTCAAGTGGACGCAAATCCTACGGACGTGCAATTCAGGTGGACCTTTAATAATTCGGCGGATTCCGTGGATGTTGCCTCTTCTCATATTGCCAGAAGTGGTACATCGAGTGTAGTGTCTTATACGCCAATGACTGAATTGGATTATGGCACTTTGCTGTGCTACGCTTCGAACAGAATCGGGCATCAGAGAGTTCCTTGCGTTTTTCATATTATTGCAGCTGGTAAGTTAATTAATAACACTATTATTATTAATAATAAAAGATAACACTGTACAGAATATTCTCGTTATGATAGTATGTATATAAATTCCTACAGAGATAGAGATAGGCTCGGTAGAAACATAAGCACTTTTACAGCCCCTGTGAATGCCCACTAGATGCTCGTTTTTGTTTCAAATTCACTTTTCAAGACGAGAACTGTTCCCAAATGCTTCATATTTTGTAAACCGACGCCTATCTCGACAATAAACAGCTTTATTAACCTACGATTATTTCTAAGTTTAGTCGTTCTTCATTCTCGAAAACTATTACCTGAGTTAATTAACCTGTTGAATTTCAACTCGAAAATTTTGAAAATTATTGTAAGTACGATTTACTGAAGCGCTTTCAAATTACGTTCAATATAAAGTAACTTTGTTGGCGGACTACACACATAAGTTTTTCTTTATTACATCCGCTTATTGCCAAACGCTTAATTAGGAAAAATCTCTTGCTTTCCCAGGAGTTTGCGTTATTAAATATCGATCTCAATTTTAACTGCGCAATTAAAATTGGAAAGACGAATACTAACTCCCACAATATGTAAAAATAATTTATCATTTCATCAATATTCGCGCTCTGGATATTACAGTTACATGGAAGTTTCATTCATCCGACGATAACACATATTGGAAAAATGTTTATGCATGCAAAGGATTTCCTGTGTAAAACATTCGCGTAGGTTACTAATTTTAATACGTTTTTATTCCACAGTTATATTAATGGGGATGATGGGCTTTTTAGAGCCCTTTACGATATCGAGGTTCTGCATGCATGATTTTGGTCATGTAAATTTTCTCTTCGATCTTGAATATGTAACGCTACACGTGAAATAGCTACTCCGAACACAGATACTAAGAATTGAAGAACTTTCATGTAGTTAATCTTTTTGATAACCGGTACAGCTGCGGTCTGTTGGAACTGCTGGAGGCAGGTGGTTATCTGCAATTGGAAAGCACTGAGTGAGATGATTGCAATGCAAAATAAAACACGTACCTAGAGGGTGCCATAAAGCACAAAATGAGAACTTCTTCATCCGGTAGAATTACGATTAAATTAAGGGCAAAGATGTCCATCGTATATAAATTCTCTATTACAACTTTTCGAAGCATGAATGAATGTGGCTATATGGGAATGGGGCGACGATGCCACTCGCCTCTTTATAAAATGCAGGATATTAAAATTCCGAATCCACAAAATATTCTCTTCATTACTAAACACAAGCATACCTACGTCAAAAATTCATATTTATCATATAACTTAACCTACCAAAAGAGCAAGAATACTCTCTTTCGCCCACCCACAGGCTCCATTCATAACGGTTTACTTTCAACCTTTACTCCTTTACTTTTACAAACACCCCTGCAACCGCATTCTGCTGCTTCTGAACTAAAGCCTCTTCTTCATGCATTTGGACAACTTCCTTATGAACTCCAATCGCTTGCTGCTGTTTCTTACTCCTGTTGCCGAACTTTCGACTAAACTATCTGATGTGGTTTGGAGGTCGGCTTCGTATTTCTTCTACGATTTCAGTAACTTTTTTTTATCTCTTCAAGGAGCGCCTTCTCGTTGCCTTTATTTCCAAATCCAATTCCTTATTTATTCTCTTAGTCTTGTCATTCGATTGCGCATTCAACCTCTCCATTTTTTCATTCGATTGCCCAGTCGGCTTTTCCATTTTTTCCCCGGATTCTCTTAGGGCCTCCAAGATTGCAGCGAAATGTCGTTCCTGTATTGTCGTCATCCCCATTGCAGACACCTCTACGTTTCCCTCACGCACGTCTATCGAGCCGGGTATTATCTCCGTGCCAACTTCCGTCGGTATTGCGATAATCCGGATTCAATTTAAATGAAAAAAGAAAACACACCCTGCAAACTTTTTCGTACGGACCTACACAATTTTTACCCCTATATAATCGTAAATCCACTAAATTCAACAGTACAATTTTCCTTTTCCTCAAAAAATGTCTGGGTTCCAAAAGAAATTGTTACCCTAAGACAAACTTCCCCTAACTCAAATTTAAGTTTTCCGTTTCCCTCCGCCGTAAGGGCACCGAATAAAAATGCTGTGTACAATGACAAACGGTCACTTAAACCACCCACACGAACACCTGTCTAGCTAACTCAATTATACTCCGTTACTGGCAAAACATTTTAAATTTATACAAAATAATTATAATTTTTCTAGGGCACGTCCAGTGTCCGCCACGACAAAAATCTCGATATTGACTTAAATTTATTTATTTGAGAAATTCGGCAGCCTTGATCACTTCCGCAATTCCAAAGAATTATTTAACGAAATTTTAATTAATCCCTAACATAATCCTGTGTACGAATAGAATTTATCTTGTGCACTCTTATATCCTGGGTCGTAATTTGGGCTCGATTAAACACAAAGCTGATCATTTACAGATGAAGCAAATTTATTCGACATAAATCAATGGCTGTAATAAAGAAATGCACTCAGGGCCTAAGGACAAATACCACGCGCATGCGATCGATTGATACAAATCAGTTAAAGAAAATTTTAATTGCCTCAAAGTTAATAATCCTTAACATCCGGTCGTAACTGCGATTTTCTTTAAACAGATACACTAGCACAAACACCAAGCGATCTTGTTTCGGAAATTTCTTAAGACTGACCATCTTCTACAAAAAAAAACCATTTATTAACGATAGAGCCAAATGAAAATAAATAGACCAATTTAAATTATATTACCATTCTGGTACAAGCCCGTCTGTCCCTGCGCAACACCATCATATAGTCTATTATTCCATTTCCTGGAGTTGTCATTTAACATCTTACGTATTCTAATTGTAATAAAATTAGTCCATACGTGCAGGTTCTATTTTATTAATATTTTGACCATAATTGAAGGTCAAATTTAATTGAATTTTTTTTATTCTTGCACAATAGCCATTGTTTATAGTTGAACTAATAATATTAAAAATGTGAAAAGGGATGGATTTTATACAGGGTGTTCCTAATCCTAAATATGATGTACATACGGAAGGGACGAATCGCAATCGCTTCATTACCGATATACAGAGAGTTATAATTTCACGATTCATTTTTTTTATACCTCCTGCAGTTTTTGTGATATTTAGTAAAATGGAATATAAGATACGCTGAAGAACTACATCATTATTGGTCATGTCAATGATAGTAAGAATCTACAGAATGTTGATTTTCTTAAGGGTCATTTTCCATTTGCTACCCCTGAATTTTTTTCGGTGCGCCCCTAAATCTAAATGAAAATAAAATCTTTAAAATGGTCTAGTAGGAGTTTTGACAGTTGAAATTTTTAAAACTATGACCTAAATTCTTGAGCACCCTGTATAAATTTTTTGAACAATTTTCCCCTTACGCTTTATGTAAGCAAATCCTGAAAATAATGGGTCTGTCTAGTTTTCTGTATAAAAGGCAATTTATTTACTGAAGGGGGAGTGTATTGCTGTGACCCAAGCATTCGGGCCGCATACAAAAATAAATGCAATGCCCCACGTAGAGCGAGCAAACAATTATGCTGTGTGCAATGGTCCGGTCAAAACACACAAAACACCTTAAACTTAGCTTGCTCTCTTATTAATTTTTCCAGGACACATCCGTCACGGCACAATAAACAAAATTCAATCAAGACTTCAAATTCCGAATTCTAAGGCAAATAATGGCTGCGATCAAATTCCAAAAGGATTATTTACACAAATTTTGAAGACATCTGGATTAAACTTTGGGCACTGAAATTAATCATAATTGAACATGAGACCTTTATCAGAATCGTTTAAAGTTCCGGGCACACAAACCACTAATTGCGAAATAAAAACGCATTTAACCAAAACGTATCGCACTAACTCTTTCTTCTATAACTTTTCTTCTGATCAGGTCGCAGGAACGTAATTCTACTCAAATTGAATTAAATTGACTGGTCAAACACCCGACAGATCAATCAATGGAGGACAACTTCAATGACAAACTTGTACGTGCGTCTTCTTAAAACTTTCACTCGTATTCCGCTGACTTCCTGATTGTTACGTAACGAATTTTACTAACAAACAAACTTAATGCAGGACGCGAGTTTTTTAGGCTTTCAACGAACAGCAACTCAGCCTCGAAATTTGAAAAATGCCCTTTTCTTACGGCAACTCCAGTATTTAACGTGTCTTCCCTCCTTTTCAACAATTCAAAAAACTTCATCCGATCACCGGAGCGTAGCAACCCGACGGCCAATGAACAGTCCGTTCCTAGACGCTCGTTTAAGTCAGGTAGGTACCAAAATTGTACGCGGAATTGTCTTATCCCATTTAACAATTTTCTAATTATATCTTATCGGTACTAAACTATATCCACCTTTTACAAAAACACTCAAAGTGCCCATAAATGAAATTAGAACTGTTACATAGATGATTTAAAAGTAAAATGGATAACAAAATAAGCCCTACATTTAGCAATTCTAGTAGTTAAGACTTCGGACGGACGGACGGGCGGAGCAAGTGGCCATAATAGCGCCTTCCAACATGAATTTGAAAATGCGCTAAAAAAAGGACTGAAATTACTTATATCTATAATAGGATAGGAATATTGCCAATTTAAAATTGTGTCTTCCCAATTTTTTTCCACAGGCTTACAATTATGTAAAATGCCTACGCCTTTAGCATGTGGCTGTCATTCCGAAATTCAATATATTCGTGATGCTGGTTATTAATTACAAACCCTGCAATAAAATTAGAAACTACGTTAAAGGATCATCCATCAATGCCACCAAAGTTTTTCAATTGAACATAATAGTTTCCATCTACTGTGAGAAGAGATTCTCGAAAGAAGTACTATCTTTATTGTCGGGTAGGGTTTTCAAACAAAATAAACAGTGGAAGTTAGAAGTGTTGTATTTATTTATGGCAAGTTTAATGCTACGCCATTTTGCGATATCGTCCAGGAGCGTATTTTAAATTCGTTGCGAAGACGAAATGTACAGAATCTTCCCGTGGGAGAAGTAAACTAGATGAACGC